ATGGCCAATCAACCTTTGAATTCGAATTGAATTCGATTTGAAAGGTTCTTCCTGAACGCGACTTGTCTTTGACTTCTTCACTTGCAAATAATTAGCATGGTGATACATTTTATTTAAGTGTAGATCACATAACACAAGTATTTCCTACTGCACACATGCTACTTTACGTTTGTATATATTTTATAATTTCAGTCGTAAGTGTTGTATTTAAATGTGTGTTAGCTGTGGTATTTAGAACCCAATTATAATCCTCCTACCATTGGATGGGATAACGATTTTGCAGGAAAATGCAGATATACTTAAGGTACTTTGGATCTGTTGTGTCTTGAGCTAAAGTATCTATACACACACATCATTCAGTTTACCTATGCACAAAACACTCTCCAAACAACATAGGCAAAAGAGCAAAAACAAAAAGATCTACGTTCAAGGGCATTCCGACTTCAACTAGCCATAAATCCCCGGCAACCTTTTCCACTCGGCGATCTTTTTTTTTTTATTTTGTCGTATTGTTGTTTTGCTTTATTTTGATGTATCTCAGAGATTTCCGAATTCGGATCTCTGTTGCCAACCGATCGTGAGCAGTGTAATGACGGCAGCAACAAAGATCTCGGATTCCAGATCCCACATCCCAGATCACCGACTCAAGCCGATCCCATGCCCAATTAACAATAGCGATCAAGCTCAGGTAGTTCGGATCGTATTCTAAGCCTTGGTAATGGGATATGGCCTAATTTCTGTGCCACCGATACGGAAGTCGATCGATAACTAGCCAGGATATGATATGGATATGTCCACCAACACTGCCATCGAATTGGCTCTTATTAAAGTGAAAGTGAAACTGTCAGGCACTTTTGTGGTTGAATTTTGACGGCAATCATTTAAGCAGGAATTTAATTTCGCTTTGATTGGATTTAAAATGTAGGATCTATTTATCTTTATTGAATTTCGGCATGGCAATGGAACATTCAAAGGCGGGAAATACTCGTAGTGTTTAAAATGTATTCCCATTAACTTGACCCGTTTTCATTGAACCGATTTGAAAAGTGCTAAACAATACAGTGCCAGGTAATTTGAATAACATTTGGCGTTGGTCGAATGCATTTTCTGTGGAAGCAATGTTTATATAGATTCGAATCGAGTTGCGTGAGAGGAAAAAACTAAAAAAAAAAAGGTAAAAAAAGATAATTTCCAGGAAGGAATGCAGCGCATATGTACACCTAGAACATTTACGGCACGTTGTAAATCTCCATACGACGTTTTGCTCAATGTGCGGTTTGATTGATTGATGGCTCGATTGATATGCCCGTTTGGCATCCACCCCTCAAATCATCCAACTGTCGCCGATTGTCAGGGGTGCCATTAATGAGCATAATATACAAATTGTATCTTGTGGCAAATGCAATAAACGAAGTTCTAAACCAAACTTCTTGTTCCATTTACATTTAGCGATGGATTCTTGAGCGCCAACACTTATAAATATTTAAGATACTAGCAATAGAAAATCGCATTATCTCTATATATGATTTTGTCATTTACTATTAACGAATATATTAACGCTGCTTGAGAAGGGAATGTAGTGACATATCTGCAAATATTCTCCCAGTGCACATGGAACACTATTCTAGTCACCCTAATGTATCTGTATCTGCATCTGCAGGATGGTCAGCTGTGCGGGCAATTACACACACATGTAGATGGCACCTTGCTAATCCGATCAGCCCTGTTGTTTCCAATCCATATTCCTTGGAACTCAAACTCGATTTCAAGCCCATATGCATATCCATATCCATGTCCGCATCCGCATCCGTATCGGCAATTGTATCTGTAGCTGTATCTATACCTACATCTACACCGGCCATGTATCTTTCGCTTTCGCTAAAAATACCGATCTAGCGCTATTTCAGCGCGTGTGACGGGCATCCGTGTGTTTATTCAAGACGGCTTCTATTTATTTTTTATACGTATGTTTTAATGTTTGCATATTGTACGATCTGGGCGCATAGCCCCCCATGGTATCCGTTCTATATCTATTTAATTTCGCATTTCTAATTTTTCTCCTCGGTTCGTAGGCGCTATTTTTGTATCGCTTCAAGCGATATATGCGCGCCAAAAAAGTAAAATAGAATAGAAGCCGCCAAAGAAACAACGCATTTTATTCGACTAGAATTTAACATAGTACAACCTGCGATGTATCGACTGAAATATATCCTTTCCTCACATATTATAAAGTAACAGTTTAGGGTAAAAGTCAAAACAATTGCCTTCAAATTCTATCAATCATGTTATCATATCATTCGTTCGCTGGTATTTAAAATGGTTTGGAAATAACGATTATTTTGAAACGAGCTAAGCCCTAAAAGTCTTTTAAACGTACTTTTTCAAATAAATAATCCTTAAATTTTGGAAATTACAAGTCATCCCAGGGATGTCCTGCAACTCAACACATATATATAGAAAAGGAGTTATGCGCCATACATAATCCTTAGGTTTCCCAATTTGATTGTCAAAACAAAAGAAAAGGGTTCATTTAATTATAAGGCGCTGTACAATTTTAATATGAACCATCAAAATGTAGAAGCGGTGTGCAAAATGAAGAAAAAGGAATTGGGGAATTGACGGAACGTGCAGAAAATAGGTCAAATCTATTTTGGGTGCAAAAAAAAAGGCGATAAAAATAATGGGTAGCAGCAAACGGTTTCCATCGTCTATATAATAATATAATACAAGCTCCTCGCTTTTTTCTCTGTTTGATGCCGCCAACACCTTTTCTTTTCTTGAATTTTTGCAAGGAAAAAAAATGAACGAAATAAATAAAACGAAAGAAATGCTTTTTTGCTTTCTCGGTGGAAAATTTTTTGGGCGTGTTGCTAGGCACTGGAAATGCCGCAGATTTGGCCACTGCGAACATGGCGAAATTTCTACGGTACTGTGGGTAATGCCACGCCCACATGGAGTAGTATTTAATGGGCTTACACTGGGGGAAATGAACTCATGTGCGACATGTGTATTTAGTGAGGATCTCAAATAATTAAATATGGTTCCATTAAAATGCATTTGCTACTGTATTCAGTACTTGCAAGGTGAAATAATCGATTTGCCAACAAACGAAATAAGCGAAACAAGTAAATATTTGATTATTTTATATATATTTGCAGTGTATTCGTTTGGTGTCAATATATAATACCCATGCTTTCACAGCTGGCATCCCATTATGATTAATGGTCATGAGTTTGGAGATGGGATAAAGTTTTTTTCTCTATAGAAACTTCATCCAGATGCGCTGCTCAATATGGGTATTTGTTTTTAATTATATTGATTAAAAGTATTCTCCGCCCAATTTGTATTCCTTACTTGCATGAACCACTGTTGTATGTATTGTGTATTCAGTGTTCCAATAACTTTGCCATAAATTGATTACCAGCAATAAACCATCTACACAAAGGCAGAAAATTCCCAAGCAAATCGAATACAAATTGCAGTTCAAATCTAGAACAAATCCCAAAGACAACGGGCAGAAATGTCAGTGGAATCCTGGCAGAGACATAGACATAGACAGAGACAGACCCTTTGATCTGCTTTCCAGGAACCTGAATCCTTCAACTCGGTGATGAATTCCCAGCCTTTGAGCCCGTCCACTTTTATTAATGCCACATGCGACAGGAAACGCTTTCTTGGCCAAATTGCACTTGTCATGCTGCCAAGAAGCGTTCGAATCGGACCTAGTCAATTGACCAGGAGTCGTGACAAATGTGAAATCCTAGGGAACCGAGACCTTAAAACCTGAACAGTGCTTCGCTTGATTCAACAATGGAAACCGTCCGCATCATCGGGCCATCAATGAATTATTGAATTTGTTGAATTTGTTGAATTTGTTTGTGAATTGCGAGAGTAGCACACATACAGTTTTCTGTGGACCAGCTAGCCCGCATGAATCAGCTTAGTGAGAATAGTGGCAATTAAGGCCGGCAAAAAAAAAACGGAATTAAGCAACCAAAACAAAGTGTCATTAAAACCGTAAGCGATGCGATGGCCCACGCCATGTTAGGCAGGAAAATAGAAAAATTTATTAAACAAATAATGCGACAGGGGAGGGGAAATTGGGTAGCGGGCGATCTCGGGTCTTCAATTAGTCAGACTTTTACCCTGATCATTTCCACCACACAGCAACAGTGGAAAAACTATCTGTGCACTGCAAAAGAGAACCGGCTCAAATATGAATTCGTTTGGGAAATGATATCTTGCTTTGAAATATTTTATAGAAAACACTTTATTTTCTGGGACTAGATCGACGGAAGTTGTTAAATTCTCTCAGTGTCCGAATCGCGCAATTAACTCGACAAAAACGAAAAAAATGTAGGGGGTATAGTGCAGTGCATTGCAATATAATAATAATTATTCTGTACACACTCAGTAAGCTGATTCATCTACCGCCGGGAAAACACCTGCAAATATGGCAGTACACACCCAAAATAAAGAATTGGACAGGTAGTTAGGGGTTAAGGGTTGACATATAGTATATAGAAAGGGTCCTATTATCGTTCGTCTTTGGCTTATCCAAAAGGCGTTTTTACGATCGTGCAGCCACTTTTATAGCAATGCCCAGGCTGTCGCATTTTTATGGCACTTTCACCTTCGACCTCATCTGCAGATGCCCACTGAGTTAGCGGCGAGAGTAGTAGGCGCCATATAGGTACATATACATAAATTTAGTTCCTAGAACGACTTCTGATACTACAATATTATCTGGCGAAACTATCCCATCAGGCGGTTCAGGTAAAGTTCTACCAGTTTGCTAGACTGAAAAATTCAGATGTGTCACACTAAATAAAAGTGTTGACGATGAACCACAATGGTCTACCTTTGGCACCCATAAAAAGCACTTCCTGGATTTAAAATGCATGTGCATTAGCACAGGTTCTCTGGTAATTATACCCTGCAAACGTTTTGTAAGTGAAAAATAAACAAAAATGATCCCATCTCTACCTTTTGCAGAGCCGTCAATCGAGTCAGTCAACATTTTGAATGTCCCCAGAGTACAAGTCAAGTGAACAGACTTAAAACACAAAAATCAAAAATTCCCAGTCCCCATTAGATCATTCGATTTGCCAAATTGCAACACCAAAATGTTCGAGCTGCAGCATATTACCTCACGGATACGCAAATTTCTGCAAAGATCCTTTCGCCTTTCATTCGGCGACTATGACATGTACTCGATCTGGAGCTTTTGTCCAATGTCCAACTGGAATCGCGTTAAAGCCATGCTCCAATCCTGCAGCCTGTGCCGCGCCGAGTCATTCCCCATTGTCTTTTGGCTGGTGGTGGTCTTCAGTCTTTGCGGTGCTACCTTCAATTGCTATGAGCTGTTGCAAGTGTGGTCCTGCCCCTGCGAAAAGTTGGCCGTGTGGCGCCAACGGCACTTCTATGTGCTGGACCACTGGGCGCTGCGTAAGGCACGACTTCTGAGCTCTGGCACTATCATGATCGCATGGTTAATGCTCATTTATGGGATCATAGCGGTGGGTAGTGTAGTAGTAGTAGTGTAATACTCGTACCGCCGTACTTATGATTTCCCTCCTCTCGTCGAACTGCAGATCTCGCCGCCCGCCATGTCGCCATGGATCCTGCTAACCAGCTTCGTCCTGTCGGTGGAGTGGTTCATGTGGTCCTTCGAGGTGATCACCGGCCGATTGCCGATCAGCCTGCAAACGCTCCTGTCCCTGGTGTTGCACGTGTTCTTTCTGGGTATGGTGTGCTGCGTGAAAAGCGTATTCGAGGTGGCGCTCGGCGAGCACTTCGAGCACTCGCTGCGGATCATTTGAGAAGGGGACCGACGGGCTGCCGGGCTGCCGGGCTGCCGAATGTCATCATTAAGTAAAGGTGCAGCAGAAGGCCGGCATAATTGCAAACACAACCTGCATTAAGCCCAATTAGGTTGCCGGCGGCACGCACACCATCTCGCCCTAATCAGTGTTCGTGTTGCCTCCTTGCAAACCCATCGCCCCTATAGATACTCTTTCGTACCGGCAGTCAAAGGAAGTCAAAAGAAGTTAAAAGCAGTTAAAGAAGTCAAAAGAAGTCCTCGAACCGCACTCATACTCACTTATCTATGTTTTATAGGTGTTTTGTATTCGAAAGTGTAACCATTAGTCGAAATTCTTAGTTTATGCCGAATAATTACAAATCATTTAAGCTGATGGCTTTGTATTCCGCAAGTTCTCTGGCTGTTTGCCAGCCTCATTGACTTATGCGTAGAGCCCGCATTCGAGAAAGGGTACAATGTTAATTCGCCTTCATTTCAACACTGTTAACTTCATCGATCGCCGAGTTGCACCTGTTGCAACCCCGAACCCAACCCCCAACCCCCAACCCCCCTCCCCGCTCCAAAAACCCTTTTTGCGAAACTCGCGCAAGCTGCAAGCCACCGAAATCTATACATAATTAAAATGGAAAAAGCACGCACAAGGAGAGGGCAGTGCGTTGAAAGTTTAACGAGATGGTTTCCTCCTATATCCTCTCATGTCCTCCGTCCAGACCAGTTATGTGACATCCGAACCCCCAGACAAAGGAGGTATATGCAACAAAAAATAATAAAATAAAAGCAAGCAAAATATAAGGGAAAAAGTTACAGCTGGCCCCTGGAAGACGCCTGCGAATGCATCTGTCCGAGGAGGAAACAAATCTGCCTGGAGAACCAGATGGAATATGGACTTTTAGCACCTTTTGGCTGGAAACTGTACAGGCCATTGGGTTTTCTATTCATTTAGATAGGTTAATTAACGTTATAAAATTGAAAACTCCGCATTTTTGTGTGTGTGTGTGTGGCTGCGCGTTTCTTTATTCAACTTTCTCCACATTTGCACATATCCTATATTTTCTATTCAATATTTACTTACAAAAGTGTTCTGTTTTTTTTAAGCTCTTCCTTTCGTCTTTTTTCTTATTTCATTACGTATACGCCTCGCTTTCTTACAAATTTGTTATAGTTCTATTTCGATAATATAAATAATTTGTTGTAGTTGCTTCTAAATAAATATATAATTGAATAATGTATAAGTACATGGTATATAATATATAATATAGAATATATTTGATTTCAAATAATTGGTAGTTTATTATTATATTGGTATTCTTTCATTTTATTATATATATATATATGTATAAATATGCATGTAAAGCACATTTATTAAATATTTTCGAAAAAATACAAAATGTACAAAACCTTTTTTGTTTTTTTTCTTTTTTTTAGTTAAACTATTGAAGCCTGTTAAAAGTGTTTTGGGTTTTATGTTTAAAGCTGTCTATATAAGCAGATTGCTGTGTTTTTATTATCTTCTGGGATTTAATGTGCCTCTCGAATCAAATATATTTTTGGAAATCATTCCTTCTTTCATTATTTACACCCATTTTTCTATGACTATTTTGTACTTTTGATTCTGCATGACCTTTCTTTGCGTGTGTATGTGTGTGTAAGTCTATGTGGGTGTGTGTGCAAATGTGTGAGTGTGAAACGACCTTGAAATCCAGCAAATTATCGGTTCTCAAATCAAATTTCGGAAATAAATTAACCAAATAAGCAGTAAATAGTTTTACACGAATCACAATGGCGAACACATTAATAATAGCAAAACGAATAAAATACTAATATTTACACGTGTGTATTAATGTTAGAAAATGCAAATTTGGTACATTATAGTTTGGTGTTCAAACCCTAAATATTAAATATGATTTAAGACACTTTTGATCGTGTCATAAATAATATTTTAAACTGTACAGTCCAACCCTTTAATCATTATTCTGTTTCCACAAAAGTAAGAGAAACATGACTTTCTTTTTAATTTCCTATAAAAAATATATTTTTCCTCTTAACACGAAAAAGATATTGTAGATGTAATACAACATTTATCTACATTTTTTTGAATAACTTTACTTAGCTAAAGAAGAAAAGAACGTTTTATAAACCAAAATGTGACTACGTTTAGTATAAAATGTCTAAAAGATTCACAGAATAAAAAACAAATTTTCTATTACATTACAGTTACTGATATTTCTGTTCAGTTTCATTCAAATTTACTTAAGGCAGATGAAAAATGTTATCAACATATTTCTGAATGTAAAGAACAAAATAAATAAAGATAAACAGAAGTGGCAGCAACCAAAAAAATAATAATAAAAACAAAAGGCAGACGCAGTCGCAGCGCAGCCGGCGTGACCTTCACCCAATAAAGCGATCGACCGCGGTCAGAGTGTAAAAAATAAAGAAAAAATTGTTGCCTGCTATTTGATTGTTGTTTTTTTTCGGTTTTCTGTTTTTTTTTTGCAGTTAAACAATTGTGCATGCCAATTTCGTTGTCTCTGTTTTGCTTGGCCCGTCGCCCTCTTTGTGTGTGTGCGAATTTTGCCGGCTACTTATGTCTACCCTTTCTATTTAGGCGGGTATCCCCACTGTCGCAATGCGCTGTACACTATGTTTGGATAACATATTTAATTTATCTCTTTTTAGCTCTACATTTCTCTAAACTATGTGCCGTACTGAAAATCTAAGTATTTTTAAAAAACTTTAAATGAGGCATACAAAAAAACCAAAGTTTAAAAGCACGATACAATTGTAATTTTCAGCTGTGCAAAATTAATATTTTTCTTTAAATAATTAAGATTGAAATAAGAGCATCACCTTCGTTTAGTTCACTTTCAGAAAGTTCCCTTTCATCTTTCATCTTTCGCTTTGCTTTTCTTTTGCAACGGAGTAAAAATTCAGAAAAAAAGAAAAAAATTCAACTAACGAAACCGAAACTGAATGATTGTAGTAAAATAATAAAGCAGCAGAAATGAGAGAAAACAAAACACGTACATAAAAATAAAATGTTATTTTATGGGTATCGTGATCGTTGTTATTGTCATGGCGGTGACTGTATACCAACCGGCTTCTCTGCTTCTTTGCTGACTTTGTTGTCGCTTTGATTTCATTAAAACTGTTGCCGGTAAAACAACAACAGAAAACAGTGTACAACAACAGTGAACAACAACAAACAGCGAACAAAAACTCTTATTGAATTAACTTAATTTGTGTGGTGGGCGGGCGACGGGGGGCGGGGCAGCAACACCCCAGGCAATGAGAAAAAATACGTTGAACTGCTAGATTAGAAACGGCGACAAAAGCAATTTAAAACCAACCAACCCACCACCCACAAAAGTGAATCACTTTGAATGATTCACTGCGAATTTGATACTCGCCGTAGGAAAATGAAAGTGAAAAGTGTAGATAGTACGAAACCAAAACAAAAGGGTTTGAAAATCAGTTTCTAAAGCATAATACGCTAGAAAACAAATGAACAAATGCAAAGATGCAAATGCAAATTTCCAAAAACGAAAACGCAAATAAGAAATAACAAATCTGTGTGAGAGAGGAAATCCTTGTACCAATTTGAAGATCTGGGAAGCTTCAATATTGCAATATAAACCGAAAAGAATAGAGAGAAGTAATAATAACAAAATCAAAAGTAATTTCTTGGTGAAATAGTTTTATTGTATAATGTATAATTATATGTATATAATTCCATTATCATAAATTTTGAAAAAAAAAATATTTAAACGGTTTGTTTCTATATAAAGTAGTGTGTGTATATATATATAAGTGTTCTGTGTAATATATTTAGTTTTTATATGTAGAAGGTACATAAAATGTAATTTATTGTGTTTACTTTTCTCATTTTTTTTGCATTCAATTTGTTTTTCATTAATAGGTAACTACATAACGAGTTAAAATTTATTAGATAATATATTAATATAGTTGTTTAGCTTGATTCGCCAGATATATCGATATTATTTTGCGATTTTTACACATATTCAATAAGCAATAGCCAAAGTAAACAGAATTTTCATATCTTCTTTTGTCATCAAATCAAAAATAGGGATTTCAAATATATATTCAATAAACGTATGCAAAAAAAAAGGTTGTTTAAATATTCATGTAATAATTCAAGCATGATCGTCTATAGTTTCATATTTCCCGTACAGTGTTAACAGTTTTTTTTTGCTTTCATTTCATGAGTTTTTCAGATTTTTTTACACAATTTTTTTATTTTATTTGTCTTCAAATAATGCGTTTTCCATTAATAATAGAAATTGTTTAACAACTAATTCAAATAGTAGTTTGGGTGTGTATAATATAAAAAATTTCATAATCATAAAAATATATTTAAACTTAAAAACATTTGCTTTGTTTTTGTTATAAATATATTTTAAAAGAAAAAAAAGTTTAATATTTTTTTGTTTTGTTTGCGAGGATTTTGGTTTTGGTCGTAGTTTTAGTGTATATATATATATATATATTTTTTTTTTTACAGTGAAAAATTATGTTTAAAAATGCCCTTTCACTTGAATTGGTTGTTTCGTTAATAAATTAATTAAAGGACTAAACAAAGAAAAGGTTTGCTTTTCGTTTTTTCGTTTCTTGTCATTTGTTTTTAGTTTATTGTATCGTAAATTTGTACGGTTTTTGTTTGTTGAAATTATTGAAAGAAAACATGGTTTTTCGTCAAACTATTTGTGGTTGTAGTATGTACTATAGGAAAATAGGTGCATTCGTGTGTATTATTTGTATATGTAAATATAAAAGTGTGTGTTTTTGTTGGTTTATTGAAGTTTTGTTTTTCGTTTCGCGTTGTACAATTCGCTTAAGTCTATTGCTTTGTGTTTTCTCTCCGGGTTTTTTTGTGTTTTCTATAAAAATAATTCCATTTCTTGGGTTTTGGGTTCGCTATTTTGTAGGCGTGTGTAACTATTATTTAACGAGATTGCTATTTACAGTGTGTACACATTTTTTGGTCGAAACAATACAAAAAATATACTCTTTAATTGTTTGTCCACGTAATTATATATCAATTTTTTTTGTGTTTTGCTTTTCCATTTAACAATTGTTTAATAGTAGTTTTTATATTCCAAAAATTAAGAGTTAAGTAGGTAGTTTTTCAAAGTTTTTGCGGCGGCGTAATAAATGAAAAGTATATGGTAAAAAATATTTCATGTGTTCGAACGTTAAGCTAGTAGTAAACAAAAATATATGAAATATATATGTATATCTGGGTATAGGTATATTAGGTATTAGCCTAGAACTCACATAAAAAATTTCTTTAAACGTCGCCCTATAGACTATAGAAATTTTCTCTTTATATATATATATATAAATGTGTGTGTGTGTGTATATACCTATACCTATATAACCTGCCCCGATCTCATTCAAATTCTGGTCATCATATATATTAATCGAATATCCATATATATATCATGGGTGTTTTTGTGTCTAAACCTAAATAACAGTTGACATTTCTTTAGAATCCCGTTCGTGTTTTCCTACATATTTCGCATGCTCTTTTAACTTCATTTGCATTTGCATTCGCATTTGCCCTATGCTTCATGTCCTTTAATTTAGTAGTAGTTATTTAGTTGATACTTAGTAGATGCGTGTAAACAATTGGTAGAATCGTTAATCATATATAACATATTGCCGGAAGGCTATAACTTATTAGCAAAAAATCGACAGTTAAACAGCTCACAAAAGTTTGAGTTTTCTTGGGTCTTGGGTCGTGGGTGTATATATCTCTCTGGGTCTCTCTTAACTCCAATCACAAACTTTGCAGCCAATTTCTCCACACTTTCGTCCTCTCTCCTCTCTCTCTCTCTCTCTCCCTCTCTCTCTTTCTATCTATCTATATATCTCGAGCGGCTAACGTTTAGGCTTAGCACTATTATATAGTTTAAAGTTTTCTTAATTCCGTTCTGTTTTCGTTAAGTTTCGCGCATTTCATATGCATAGTTATCAGTTAAAAAAAATATATATATAGATATATATGTATATATACCTAAGTGTAGCAAAAAAAAAGATAATATGATTGTATAAAGGTTCCTATATATACACACGTATATATAACTATATTCATATTTGAATCTTCATAGCAAATAAAATGTATTTTCTCAATATAGGCAGTAGAGTTCAAGTTTTTTGTTTTGGGGTGTATATAAAAAAAGCGTTTCTCTTTCATATCCGCGTTGTCCAACAGATCTATAACTCATAAACCATATACATATATAAATATATACATATATAAACATATATATATATGGGTTATAGCAGGGGATATCTGGGGGGTCTAAGCAAAAGCATTGAGGTGTGTATGCATGCAGATACATTTGGGTTTCTTTTCTGCTCCAAGGATGCGTCTCTAAGAATATAGGACCCAAAAACATGTCCATTGTTTTATAGATAATTTCTAGGTAAACTAGCGAACCAAGGTCGAAATAAAGTGTGTTCCGTGTTGCTTCGTCAAGAAGTTTGGAACTATTTGAAGCCGGCTCATTTCGCATTTTGCTTTTGGGGTACGAAACCAAAAGTTCTACTTTAGGCTATACTAATTTCTATATAAATATATATAGATACCCATATATATCTCATCGTTCTCGCTTCCGACTTTGTGTGCTCTATCTCCTCTTTGTGGCTCTTTCGTTGTAACTTTTGTCTGTTTTCCGTTTCCGTTTTGTGTTTCCCTTCAGTTTGTTTGTGTTTCTTCGCTCGGTCTCTCATTCTAACTTTCCTTTCCTTTCACTTTTCAATGTTTGGTTCTTTGTCCTTATTTTTTGTGTTTTCTAAATGTTTTCCTTTTTGTTTACTTCATGGTTAAGTAACTAATTAAAAAAAAAACTAAGATAATCTATATCATATGTTATTTACAGGCCGCTAGTTGCTAGTTAAATCTAATCATACGTGTATATTGTAATATATGCAGCGAAAAAAAAAAAACACTTCAACTCGATTTCATAACAGTTTTCGTTGACTTCCCTACCAAATCAAATCGCGCGGAAAGAAAATCATATATATATCACATTGAAGAAATCAAATTTGTTAAATCACTTGTACACTCTAACCCCTTGTATGGTAAAAGATAAAAAATAAAATTTAAAAAAAAAATGCAAGCAAATCGTTAAACATAACCTACTAACTGATATTGAAGCTCTCCACAAAATAATAATAATAAAAAAAGAAGCATATTTAAGGCTTAATGTCAAGAAAGGATCCGAAGCTTAATCAAAAGTAAATCGCAAAAAATAGGAGGGTATACAGATCCTGTATATACAATGGGGTGTCCTAGCTCTACGCCGCCGCTTTAAGCAGATGGTATGAGACAACACTATCCACTAACCGATTGCGACTCGGTCAATTCCAGCTTGTAACGGGCCAGTAGCTCCTGCTGCTGCTTGAGCTGCATGGCCAAGACCTGGCGCTGCAGACTGAGCTCGTGCTCCTCCTGGGTCAGCTGGGTGCACAGCTTGGCCGCCTCCCGCAGGATATTGACCTTGGGAGCCCGCTCCTTATCCCTGATCGTGGGTATCTGTTTCTTTAGAGCCTCAAAGAGGTTCTTCAGGCCAATGCGGCGCTGGCGCTCCATATCATTGTGCTGATTGCGCTTCTCGATCGTCTCGGCCTCGTCCAGGCCCAAAACAAAGTCCTTCCGGAGTACACTGCTCTGGGAGCTTGTGCTAGCGGCGATTCCGCCACTACGCCGCAGCCAATTGCGATCCATTGGGTCCACATCCTGGCCAGGCAATATCGGAGATGTGTTGCCAGTCGAGGAGGCCGATGAAGCCGACGAGCCCACCACCTTCTTGCCGCGACTCTTTTTGCTAATCATGGAGTTATGCGTCACTTTGCCATTGCCTCCCGGCAGATAGACGCCGGGGGAGATCAACAAGCCTCCACCAGGGGCCTTCAGGCAGGATCGCTTGCGTCCCTTGTTGGAAGCGGAGGAGGTCGTGGTGAAGCTTGACTGCGAACTGGAACTGGAGCTGCTCGAGCTGACATTTGACGAGTCCACGAATAGCGGCGAATAGGACGGCGAGGCGGCGGAGGAGCAGTTCTGGTACGGTGTGCTCGAAGGCGACGGATAGCGCGAGTTGGCCACCGACTTAACCGGACTGCTGCTGGCCGGCGTGTACGGCAGATTGAAGTTGCCATAGCGGGGCTTTTGCTTCATGTGATCAATCGAGATCTTGTGCGCCATCTGGAACTGTAGGGCGCCCATCACGTGGCACGATGGATTCGTGGGCAGCTTCTTGTCCGTATACGAAACCACATCGATTTCCTCATCTGCACAGCGATAGTAAAAAAAACAAAAAAAATTGTATTTCTGATTAGCAATGGGGTCTTGATTTCGTGATATCATCGATATCCAAATAATTAGTTTATTGCTTATATGTGCCGCACTATAATTATGCAATGCATTGTGCTGCTGCAGCCTCTGCGTCTTTCTTCTTCTTCTTCTTGGTTCAATGGTCGCAGCGGAAGCGGTAAATTAGCGAAACGGAAGAGTGAAGTACAGCAAAAGCGACTCTGGGTTGTGCCCCCACATCCCACATCCAATATATGAAGCTATCCCTACAAGCTGGAGAGCTTTCTCTGTTGCCAGGCGAAATTGTGCGAGATGTGGGAATGTGGGGGGTAAAAGAAATGGAATTGAATGGTATGGAATGGGGTAAAAGCATAGCAAAGCAAAAAAGAAATGAAGGCAAAACAAAAAGGCGGAGACAGACCAATGACGTCAACACGAAAGGGCGTCGTCTGTCTGTCGCGACGACACTTGAAATTGAAATCCGTGCAAATCTATTGCTTCCTGAAGTCTGATACTCCAGATACGAGATATATACGACAATGAGTATAGGAGAAGGAAAACTATACCCCAAACGTTGACACACTAATCCGCTTTAGCTATTTTCTTCCTTTTCTTTCCGTCCATTTACTTGTTTTTTTTGTTTGTTTGTTTTTCTACGCCCACCTAAGTCATAATTCTAGGCAGAGGTCATTAAACTTTCGCCAAAGGAAAATCATTTGAGGGGCTTTGGCTTCCGAAAGGAACAAGAATTGCATGAGAGTAATAGGCCGCCGACATAGTCTTGTTACTTCTCGTTCTTTCTTTCTTTCTTTCTTTCAACTATTACTTCATTTTTCGATTGTGTTTTATGCAATATTGTGTTTTATATTGACTTGAAAATTGGCCTTGAAATGAATCAAATTTCCACAAAGACTTTGATGTACATACGCTACGCTTTGAGTTCAAGTCAACTGTTTAAACATTCCATTTGTTTAGCGAAACAAGCAACTGTGCAAGCAAACCAGAAGAAATGACAGGAAAAAGACCAATTCTGCGCTTGGCAACAAGGTAAATGCGAAATGAGAGACGCTGGAGAAGGGCAAAAGAAGTTCGTGGCTGAAGAAGTAGACTGCGGACAAGAGCAACAAGTTGCAAGCTGCAAGTTGCAAGATCAAGTGCATGGGAGACTGGAAAAAATAAACATTGAACAAAACCCGACTGGTGGTGTAACCGCAACGAAATCGAAACCTGCAGCAGAAATGCCTGAGTGGGCATGAGTCAGATTCTTTCAGGAGAATCATCAGACGAAATGAGAAGAAACGAAGGAGCCACAAGCAAGTTCCAGATTCGTTTTACTGGTTTCTTACTTTATTTTTTTTTTTTGCCAACGTCATCGTTTCACTTTGGCTAGACAACCAACAGACCGACCACCAAGTCTTCTCCCCTCGACAAAATTTTGGAATGCAGCCTCTTCGCCGGCCATTTTATGTAAAAAATAAAAAGAAAAAACAGGAAAAAAATAAAAGCGCAGACGGCAGCAAACTGCGGAATGCCAAAGGAATACGGGCGCTTGTATGGGGAAATTCAGAGTTAATATTAAAGGTATAAAAACTCTCATACAAATGACTTGATAGATAGAGTGTTCGAAGAATTTTGTCAGGCTAAAATTCTAGTATACGCCCGCCATAAGCCCCCCAAAAAAAACAAGCACAAGCTCTCGAGTTCGGCTTAAAATCAGTGAATATGCAAAGTAACAACTGTCAAGCGAGATTTCCAACGAACAGCGCTATTTCAACAACGAAAGGGGAATTTCCAGACTGCGACCCAGCCCACCTCGCGGCTGCCGCTGCTGCTGCTTTCGATAGACAATGAATGAATGTTAAACAACAAAAAAAAAAAAACGAAAACAACAAAAGTGCAGGCTTTCCTCGCTTGTTTACTATCATCAAATTGCATCTGCATCGGCTGCCCCCCGGCAAAAGTGCATTCAATTGCTCACTCGCACAAATCGGGTGCAGTTTCTACCATCCCATAATACTATATATATATTCTCTCCCTCTCTCGGCGAATTCGAATATTAAAAAAAAAAACCCGACAAACTCGTTTGCTGCATTAAAATACAAGAAACCGCGTAGAAGAAGTAGCAGACAGACCAAACAAAGCCACTTTTATTTTTTTTTTTTATTCGCGACGGCAGCAGCAACTTTTGTTGCTAAGCCAACGAAGCCAAGATCAAATCGTAATAATAAAGCAAAAGCCGAGAGTAGAGTGACGCGCAAGGGATTTGAAGCCGACTATTGGATACCCCTCACCAAAGTTGGCAGACGACTTGAGGCGAAGCTTAAGCTTAACTGCATTAAATGTCGCGATTTAGAGATATTTTAGTCCATCACAACAACTCCTCTACCAAGTCGAGTAAACCCCTGCAGGTAGGGTATCGAATTCCAAAGAGGAAGCTGGCCGTTGATTACAATTGCAAATAAAATGCACACAAGCCGCCACATGTTGCGCAACTTTAGTGCAGGAAAAAGGGGGAGGCGGTGGGTTGGGTTTTACCTGCCCCTGCATTCTACGTATACAAATATATACGTATATATACATGTACGTATATATGTGTGGGGACGTGTGTGATAAGCAGAGACGCCTTTTGCCCTATAAAATTAGCATAGGAACGGGGGTACGATGAGATGATGCGGACAGACAGCCCAAAGGGTAGGCCTTAAAAGAGGGAATTATAAAAAAAATACGAAAAATGCGGACAAGTGCATCATCAATGCAACAACAACAAAAAGGCCACAACAGAAATGCTTCAGGAACATTGTGGATATACCCGCCCGAACGGGTTAAATACCCCATATCTTTTGGATCGGCTTTGCAGGCAAATGAAATTGAAATGAAAATGAAAATGGCAAATGATGTAATACAGACAAGAATGTTTTAAAAAGGCCTATAAAAATAAAAGAGTGACAGCGAAAAAGGCAACGATTACTCGGAATATGAAATACAGTGGGATAAATTGGGACGGACCACTTGGTGAAGCAAATAATTCGCTTGGAATTAATCATCAGCAGCCATTGATGAGGCGCACATTAAAACCAATTTATATTCAAGTAATTAATTTTTGGTTGGATTTTTAAAAAACTATTTTCTAGATTCTTTGATTGAGAGTAACCACTGTGCAGCAAGTCGTAAAATTTGACAAATTTGACTTGGAGACTGCTCCACACTACCTCTCTTCCCTCCCCCCACAATTCCCGCCGACCCCTTGAGAATTTGTTTAATAACAAACGTTGTTGCTGTTTACTGAGCTCCAAGTCTGCGACTTTAATGACACATCTCGGCAAATGGATGTGTACGTGTGTGAAAACAAATACATATTTAGAAGAAAGTTCATTGAGGGGATGATGAAGAATTTGACCGTTTAGATCATCAGTGAGTAATTTGTACTTTTTTCACGCCTTGCATTTTTTGTATGTGTGTTTAGCAAATAATTTACAAGCCCAAAAGCGCACACGTTTAACGATTTCGTGGAAACCGTGAAGAATCGAGAATGTAAACATACACACATATGTACATAGTACATATGGATCTTTTCAGTTTTCCCACGCCTCACCACCCTATATTCTTGCGTTGGCATTTCGCATGAAAATCAAATAAATTGCAATTGCTACAGCAACAACACATGTTGCACTTTTGGCAAAGGTTAAGAGACGGAGCAGCGACGCAGCAGCAGCAGAAATTGCATCTGCAGCGGTAACTGCAACAGAAATTGCAGCCGCAAATGCAACATCTGCTGGCAACATGTCGCTCAACCGCAGCTTGCCACACCGCGGGCCAGCGAAATAGGTCACAGGCAACTCAAACAGCAGACCTCTATCAAAATAAGCTAATCACAACAAATGGAATACTATTGGTTTTATAGAGACTGTCCATCACAATTAATCCAAAATGTACATTTTTGTATACAAACTCTAGACTAGAGATGCTTTAAAATATAAATCATATAAAATTAGCCACTGCTGTCTGTTATAAACAAAAACAGTGCTTCCGCTGCAATGTACGATTTTCCCACGCGCATTTCTTGCGCTTTTTCCTCCTTATAATATGCTTTTTTTGTGCCCCCGCCCATTTGATTTTCTCGGCTTTTCCTTTTTTGTGACGTAGTCGGTGGGAATTTCATCATCGGAGGAAAAGCAGGATGTGAGTCATCAAGTTAAGCCTTTTCCGATGGAAACCTCTGCACACTTCAACCACCACCACCCCCCTCCCCACACCGAAAAGCTTGAAAATAATGACTAATGTTGCACGACGTCGCAATGCGACACATCGAACACGACGATCAGAGGGCCAGCCGGACCATATGGATATTAGAAAAGGTTGGGTTGGGTTGGGGACACATCCCTAATGGAATAATGTGACTGGCACATAAATTATGAAAATGTGTCTGGCAACATATCGCCGTGGAGCTTTTGGCAACATTCTTGGGCGTGGATACATCTTCGTTGTACATATAAATGTACATATGTACGCACTTTTATGTATGTACAGGAAATCTCTCATGAACGTCGAAAGGGAGGCTCGTTTGTTAAGGAAAAAGACAACAAAAAAAAGATAAATAAATAAAGCTGTCCCAAGTGCGTAAGAGCGAGAGGGGAGGAAAAAGCTTTGCTCTCTATGGGCTTTTGGGTTTTTTTTTTATATATATATTTTTTTTTTATAACGCCGACGTCGCCGCTCTTGCGACCTTGAGCATAACAATTTATTGCTACACGTGTGCGAATAAAGTAACAACAAACCCACAACCACGACGCAGTTCGTACATCAGAAAGAAATGGCGCTATGTAGCGAGATAAGGACGGGAAGAGAGAGACGCCTAGCAACAGTCGAGGGAAACCGCCGAAAAGTGTACGTAAAAATTGCCAAAGAAAAAAAACCTATAGCCCCAGCCGGAAAAAAGAACATACGGTCCCCGGTCCATTGTTGGGAGCGACTTTTTGGGCCCTTACAAAAGGGGTGTCTTACTAACAATCTACCACTGTTTACATTCTTGTCTTTGGCGTTTGTGTACTATTATTATTATTCTTTTTTCATACTGCTTCTACTTCTCATGGGCGTAATACATTTTCATTTAATTTGTGGTCTATGTCTCTGGCCTTCGATTGTTGTCTTCTTCTAAACGCATATAGTGAAGAACTGCTAAACTGCGAAAGTGAAAAGCGAATAGGCCAGAACTAGCCAGAAAAGGAATTATTGTTTTGGCCAACTTGAATTGGACATACGTTTTTATTTTGCCGCACCCCCACACCACTTTTCGATTTCTACGCATGTTTATTTTTTATATTTTTTTTTTTCGGCAAATGACTGACCTTGGTTCAGTTCATTAACATTTTTCCAAACCCACAAACGCACACGCACACACAGTCGCAAGGTGCGAAATGGCAAAAACCAGCACGCACTGCCAAAAGGTAAATACACACATACCTAGACCCATGGATGTGTGTGTGCGTGTATACGCATTTTTAAAGAGGCGCCAACATAGGCATGTGGCATCTGGTCGCTCGCTCACTCCACCGCGAACCTTATCTTTTTGCCGAATTTTGTGCGTTGTTGCCAACCGCCCCATCTCGTTCGCTCTCGCGAGCTTTAATACTAATTAGACGACTGCAGCATAGCGATAAAGAAGACAACCCCCCACCCGCCTTCTCCTCAATAAAGACGAAAAGCAAGGAATTGATATTGATACAAGTGCGTGTGCTCGTAGAGCGCCATCTCCCTCTCGCCGTCCTCACGAGTTGCGCGTGCGAGCAAGAAGGGGCTACATTTGCTAATTTGCGGCACGCACCTGATTTGTTTTCCGTCTCTTCTGCTATTTCTATATCTGTTTCCAACAAGAAACGCGTACGCAAAAAGAATAGAAAGAACTAATCTCGAGCCACTTTGTGTGTTAAGCTCTTTTAGTTTGCCAAATTAGCAGTGGAAAATTGTGATGTGATTTCGTCACCAAGCTATATTGATGAAAAGGAGATTTTTGGTAAATTTGCCAACGCGTAATGCTTGATTACTAGTGTGGTATTTATTATGTTCAGTAATTTTGACAAACGATCATAAAATATTGGCAATTCTAGGAATTTGACTTTCTGATTTTCTGCGTATTTAAAATATGTATATACAGACGAACACTAGAGTGTGGGCGATTTTTGCTCAATTTATGATAAGTTTTTTACATATTTCGCATTTGATGGCTTTTTTTATTTCTATTTGCTTTGGCGTTCGTTTTTTGCAGCGGTAGAAATTGAATAAATATGTGAAGCGGTTGCCAACATGAAGTAAAAGCACAAAATACAACAAAAGCACGCAAACCGCAAGAAAAGAAAGAAAAAATAAAAACCAGACAACACCCCATAATGAAATCAAACCAAAACAAACGTGCAGAAACCGTATTGTTGCCGCCATTTCTTGGTTTAACTGCACTCGGCAAATTGCAAGAGAGAAAAAGCTGACGACAAGAAAAAGAGAGCAAAAGTTTTTGCTTTGCTTTGCTTTGCGTTGCTGCTCTTGCTTTTGCAGTTGCTGTTGCTGTTTCTTTTTTCAAAGCATTAGTTGTGCTCTCTTCTGTTCCGTTCGTTCGTGTTTTAAGTGTTTCATCAATTGCTAAATATTTTGTATTCAGTTTCAATTTTCCTTGCAATTCCCCCCACCCCATCCCATCTCCTTGCCTTTCCCCGCTATTATTTAACATATTTTTTAATTGAGCGCCGGCAAAAAGCTCGCACCGGCCGCCGAATGGCGAGTAGTATGTAGTAGAAAATGCACAAGCATGTGGTTGCATGCGCAGTTGTAGTTGCAGCGTAAAACGTAGTAAAAATCAACATGATTGACGTGCCGTAAGCTTGCGAGGGTTGCTCAATGGATACCGATTTGCGCGCCAAAAGGAAAGAGAGCGCGAGAGCCAGACATTGAACTCGCCGGCAACTGAGACACAAGCAGGACGACTATAAGGATATCCTACAAAACTAAATGGATTGCACAATATGATATTTCAGATATTCCAGAGCAATCATTTTGCATGCAATTTCCCCTTAAATTATTGATGAATACAATTTGTATGTATTTCTCCTTCCATATTAATGGCATAATAAATCTTTTGTGATGGGCAAGAGATTTATGCTTGTTTCTAGTCGCAAATACCTCGTATTTTTGGGTGATATAGTATATGTATGTACGAGTGTAATAGAAAATGCCGCCAAGGAGGCAGGAAAATTTTGGGGCTGTCTGCCACGTGGCCAGTGACCAGACATCCTTGAAATTCGCACAACAACAGCCCGGAAAGGAAAAGCCAAGTAAATTGGGGTGTTGGCCCAAACGAGAGAGATTCTAGTATATATATATATATGTATATATATATACTATATACATATATATATGGGTTCTTTTTATTCTGGGCGTAGTTCTGCGCAAGAACATCATCATCATCCCCCGGGTGATAAGTTCTTTTTGTTTTTGGCAGAGAGAGGATGACGCCATGGAGCAAATGAACACAATGAGCCATGAAAGCCACGCGCCAACATTTTCCCCATTGTGGGTGGCGGCAAGTGGGAAAAATCATAAAGGAAAGTCCAGAGACAAGAGCTCAGAGCACATAGCACATAGCACCCATCGCAGTGAAAAGCACAAAAATCAATGGGGGGAAATGGAAAACCACCGCAGACAGACGCCGGCGTCGCGTGGGCGTGTTTTTCTTCATTTTCTTCGCTTCTTTTTTTTCGGTGTGCAACGTAACAAGTTTACTACGTTTGCTGTTGACGTAGGCGTTTTCCGCCAATCGATTTTCCGGTTGCCTATGTACAGTGTGTGTGTGTGTGTGTTTGCACAGTGTACTTGTGCGTTTGGGCGTTAGTCTGCACCCACACGAAACGGAAGTGCGAACACTAGTTGAATGTGCAACACCCACAGGAGTGTTGTGGGTGTGTGTGTTGTGTGTGGCGGCGGGGGGGCGTCTAAGGTTGCTAACTAATCGGCCGCCCCACGAGCTATTCTATTTCTGTAATTAGTATGCCAGTTTTTGTAGGCGTTTAGGTTCATCGCATCTCCCGAGGGATCTAAGAAGTTCAGCTAAGCTACAGCTATTCGCAACCATGCAACCAAGCGGCCATTGTGTTGCAAGACATTTTGGACTCTAAGCACACGTAGCACTTGCAATATTAGTGAAAATAGGCATATGGGGGACTCACCGGAATCCGAGGGGGTCTCCAGATTGGGCCCATCGTCCACCATATCGTTGCAGCGTGTGTAGCTGTGATCGGTGATGTGCATCATGTGCAGCATGCCGTTGCTGCTGCTGCTGTTGTTGTTGTTACTGCTGTTGCTGTTGTTGTTGTTGCTGCTGGCGATGACGATGGCGTTGGCGTTGGTGTTGCTGCTCTTGCTGCTGCGATGGTGCCGCAGTCCAAAGTTGTGCGATTCACCGTCATCGGAATCACTATCGGAGCCGGTGGTCGGCGGAGAGCCCACTGTACTGCAACCGGTGGCTATATCGATGGCCTGCTGTTGCTCATCCAACTGCTGTTGGTTCATCTGCTGCTGGAGACCACCACCACCCGTCGAATTGGAATGCTGGTTGAGCACATCGAGGACATCGCTGATCGGCGGTATGTAGCGCACGGGCAACGGATCCTTGCCGGCTGCATTCTGCAGATCCCTGCTGATTTGCTTAATGTAGTTAACATCGCTGCTATCATCGCTGGTCAGCGAAATGTTATTGCTGCCCATCACGCAGGCACGCAAATCGACGCTGTGTCTAAACTCTGGGGCGGCCACCTCGTCGGTGAGACTGTGCGGTGTGTCGGGTCTCAGGTATTTGATGCTATCGCCGCTCACCTCGCCCGCCTTCCGGGTGTGGGTGTCCAGTTGTGTCTGGTTGTTCCGCTTGCGGAGCAAACTTCCGCCGGGCGGTATTAAATGGACCTCGTCCTGGACCTGGACCTGTGACTTCTTGTCGCCGCTGCATAAACGCTGACGCTTCTGGCTGGCCACCATGTAGTCCAGATCGGCGTGCTCCTTCTTGATGATCATGGGCATGTTGCTATCGGGACTGGCGGCGGCACCACCGGCCTGTTGTTGATTTGACTGGCTGTTTGTGTTATCTGTTGGCTGCGTTGATCGCTGATACGCGCTGTAGAGATTCGTAGAGCCGGAAACCAGGGCCAAGGACACGGCACTGGTTTCGCTGTACGATGAGGCTGCACTGTTGTTTCCGGTTTCCATTGCATTCGCATTGCCGCTGGTCAAACAACTGGACATCGCCGGCCACATGCAGTCTATGTTGCGAATCTCTGGCTTCATATCCTCCTCAAAGTCATAATCCTGAAATGCCCCATCCATGTCACCGATCTTCTCCAGATCACTCTGGATGGTGGACGATAGCGGGAATTTGTCCATATCGTACAGATCATGATCATTATCCATATCGAATATTGACATATTTGCAAAAAATTGGTCCTCCATTATACAGTAGGGAGGAAGAGCCATTGCGTTAAGGTTTATCTGGATTTTACTTTTTCTTGTTGTTTTTATATCTTAGTTCCTGAGTTATATGCCGGCTGTCTGAAAAGTATAGGTAAGACGGAAATCGTTGTAAGGAAGTTCTTTGTAAAGTATTCTTGTTCTATTGGAATTCAAATACACATATTTTCGGCTAATCTCTGTTTGTTCCTGCTTCGAGCACACACTGTATTACTGAGAAAAAAAATAAAATAAAAATAAACGGACCTTTTACCGATAAACGCAGATCTGTGCAAGCTTTCGACTTTACTAGTTTACCGTTCTTTTTCTTTTTCCTTAGAATCCGTTGCATTTCGGCGAAAAAGTACGACCAAAAACTAACAGTACAACTCTTTCGCAGTTTCGAACGAAAAACGGTTTATTCAAGTTTATTATGCTTCGGCATCATTGTCAATTGAGGAAAGTCACACTTCTTAATTTCACATTCGCAAGCTCATATTTTTAAATCACTTTTTGTCACTTTAGTGTGCATGTGTGTGTCGCCGCGATTTTTAAAGTCGAAAAATTCCGTTAAATAATACATATCTTTGCACTCACCTCGCTGAACATAGTTTTCGTATCCGTCTCTATTCAAGTGATTGTAATCCAATTTGGTTAGCTTCCTTTCCTTCCCAGTCGGTTTCGGCTATATCTATTTCTATCCCGTTCCCGCCGCCGGTAAGTGTTGTTGCGCACTTTTGTTTTTGCGTCAAGAAAAGGTGAAAGACGTCGAAAAAAACACCAAAAAAAGGGACACAAAAAAAAATTATTCCCGTTTATTTTGCACTGGATGTTTTTTTTTTTATATTTTTTTATTTGTTTATTTTTATTTTTTTTGTTTTTAATTTCTAGTTTTTCACAAGTTTTTGTTAATGCTTTGGAGAAGACTTTTTATGTATTTTGCGCGGTTTTAAGTCGGCTCGTCGTTTATTTCTGGGATTTAGCACTTTTTGTAACAGTTGTAGTGATTAATAGTTGTGTATTTTTGTCGGGCGGAAAACAGACAAAAATCCAAATCCACATTTAAAAGAGAGAATAGCCCGCAACGCGCTTCTAGTTTTGAATGCGACTTAAATAAGTGAACAGCACGGAATAAGGCACATTTCACTGATGAGTGTCTTAAATAAGATTTTTCTCTCTCTTTTCATTATTCACCGCTCTCGCGCTCTGCCGCTCACTGAATATGCCGCTCACTGAATTTGCCGCTCACTGAATTTGCCGCTCTCTCTCTCTCTCTCTCTCTCTCTCTCTCTCTGCTGTCTTTTGCTCTCCGACTTTGAGTGATACCCGGCCGCATTTAGAGCGTTTTCATTTTAATGCATTTCGTGTCGTGTCAACCGCAATTTCTATAAACTTCATCACGATTTCATGTTTATGTTTATTACTCGATGGTTTTCAAAGAAATTACGCGGTGCAAGTAACCCGCTCTCTTCCGTTCCTCCTCCCGCTCACCCGCTCACCATCTCTCCCACGCTCTCTCTCTCTCTCTCTCTCGCTACCTCCCCTCACTCGCTTCAGTTTGCCGACTTTGCCGGTTAAGTGAAGATCAATAAAAACACAAACAATTGACAAGAACTGATTCGTAAGGTTCTTGTAAAATGCAAAGCAATACGATGCCAAATAAACAAATGTGTATTTGACTGGAAATCAAAAAAAAGTTTGATTCATTCATTTAATTTACGTACGAAAGTATACAAATATAGCAATTGAAGTTATACAATATACACAATTTAGTGTTTAACAGGTTAAAATATACTACATATGTATTCATTTCTAGAAAAGTTCACATCACAAAGTAGATGAGTATTTGTATAATAATATAATATAAATAATATATATAAAAATATATATATAAAAAATGTATATTATTTATATATATATATAATATACATATATATAAATATAAATATAAATATAAATATATAATAGTCCATTCCCAATAAAAAAGTCAAAAAAGTAGTACGCATAAATGAAACTGCAGTTTTCTATTGCTTTTCTTTGGCATTATTTGGGATTCCTTGATTCTTCTTCGCCGCATAAATGTTGCCTATTTTTAAATTGGCTTCATTTTTGGTTGTGTTCCTTTTTTGCTTAGTTTCTGCGAGAAGTTCCTAATTCTTTCCCACTCTTTTAGCCCCTCTTGCTTCGTATTCTCCTTGCCCTTTCCTTTATCTATTTAGCTTGCCCACCAAAGTTCTTGATGTGCGTGTGTGTAATGTAAGCTCTTTGTCAATCTTTGCTGCGCTCTCGCTCTTCCCACTTCCACCAGACCATCTCTCTCTTTCTCCTTTCAGCAACTTCAGTTTGTCAAGTTGATTGAACTTGTGAACTTTGTGGCGGCAAAAATAAACAATGCCGAAATGCCAATAAAACAAAAAGTAATGCCACAAGGTACAAACAAAACAAAAAGTAAACATTTTTTTCGAGTGTGTGTGTATCTGTGAATTTATGTAAGTGTATGTGAACCTACCTCAAGTCTAATTAAATTATGCCAAGGAAATGTAAAAAGAAAGGAAAAGGCACAAGCAGCGCCCAAAAAGTAACAACAACATTGAAAAAAGGAAGTTGTGGAATTTTTGTGGAATTTTGTGGGGTAGTAAAATGAAGAAGGAGAGAAAGCAGCAGCACCTTGAATGAATAATATGTAATTTTTACATATTACATATATTTAGTACATATGTATGTATGTAGGTAAATCACTAACTGCGCATTTGTAATGCCTATTATAGCACATATGTATGTACGTACACACATATGTATGAACTCGTAAGAATCAACTTGTCAGGACATGCATATTTGCAACATGGAATGTTGCGCCCTTTTGCGACTATCAAAATCATCAGGTGGTTGCGACACAAAGTCCTTACCGCTGTCGCCACCCTGCTCATTTCGTTGCGCTTCGCTTTGCTGCGCGTTTCGCCACCCATTTCCATTGCACTTTTTAGCGCGTGCATCTGCCCTCTCTTTGGCACCTTTGCACGCTTTTGATTTTGTTTTGATTTCGCAACCCAGCGACCTAGCAGAAAATTTCAAGCAGAAAACTCGCCGAACAACTACCCTGCTATTTGCACTAAAAACTTGTTATTACATTATTATTATTAATAGCTTCAGTCAGCCAAATGTAAATTACATATGTAAGTAACGCAGCAGGGAGTTTTGCACACAAGCAACAGTTCGCTGTAGGTGCCGATATGCTCCGGCTCTTACAGGGTGCAACTGCGTTACAGACAACACAAAATTGGCGCGCATTTTGTGATCTTTATTTTACGCTGCACTCACCCGCTGACGAAGTTCGTTTTCAATAAACTTGGAAATATTTTCGTGGTACAATTAATTTTTGAGTGTGCTGCATGTTTTTTGTAATAATAGTAAAATATTTTCAAAAATGTATAGTGTGCATCGGGGAAATATAAAAAACAACTGCGTAAATAATGGCAGCAAGCACTTGTCGTCGAGTTTTCATATCAAGTTTGTCAAGAATTTGCCAAGCTATCAAAAAATCTACGTAACGTAACCGGCTAACCTGTAGTCGGGCTCGTAGAAATGATGGCGATGACGGTGATGGCACCGTTAAATCGAATAAATCGACAGTTATCAAAAGTATCGACAGCCAAGTGTCGATATATTAAAAAAGGACAAAAAAGGACCAAAGGAGCAACGAAGCAATGTAAGATGTATGTGGATAGCACAGTGTAGCAGTGTATGTACGTACACACATACATACAATATGTATAAGCAAGTTCCATATTGAATGATCTTATTGATAGTGTTGATAGTGCTAGATTGAGGTTCATCCCATCACCAGGCGCATTTGACATGGCATTTAACGGTCTACACGTGCAGCAACAATGTAACTTTGACGCCGCCGTCGACAGGTGTACTCGATGTAATTGTATTGGCAATTCAAATGCGATAAAGCCGGGGCCTCGAGTGGCAGTTATGCTCGTTGTAGGCCAGAAACTACCGCCACCCATTGATAACGGGAATAATCGTAAATTGCATTGCGCACTAGTCTTCCTTTTGCAACAATGTCGTTATCTTCTACTTCTTGTCTTTTTCTGTTTTTTTTCGTTCCGTGCTTGGTAGTGGGATTTTACTACAAAAACGTAAAAATACACACGTCAAATTTAATGTGCGAAAATGTACACACCCTTTTTGTTAAGTGTTTTTGAAATTGAAGTATTTTTATTGCACTGCGTTTCAGGCATATTATACAGGAAGTTTTCACTGAAAGCAAATGTATGGGCTTATATTATCACTAGTTACACTGGTTAATATTCATTCAAATATGCATCTAGGCTTGGTTTTTGAAAGGTGTACTTACGTACATATGTATGTATGTACACATATGTATATGTGTATATGTATGTATTTACTTATTTGTCATTTTTGGCGCCAACTATTTAGACGCCTATCGTATCAGAAGATAAGACATGTGCAAACCTTCAATTATAAATTATTGGGGGAGCTCAATACTCGACTATTTGGCACAACTGATTCATAGGCGTAATTGAACACACACTTGAAGGCCACGATCATAATTCGAGGATTACTATGAGTGATTCCCTATCTATATATATATATATATGTATGTATGTACAGTGCTTTAATAATCAAGAAATTTATAAAAAGAATGTTCAATATGTTTCATTATGCATCTATGCATACATATGTATGTATGTGTTAGGTTTGGTAGTCCAGTTTCCCATCTTTAATGATAATTATTCGTTACAAGTCTGCTCATTCTCATTATTCTTTTCGGCTCCTATTCGCCTTTGATTTGCATTATTTTCCTAAAAATCGCTTCGTTGTCCTCTCCCTTTTCATCTTCGCTGTCGATTTTCTTTGCCGACTCATGCGACACATTTTGCATGTGGACTTTCAAAAGAATTTACACTTAGAGGTGTAAAGACAAAATAAAAATAAAGCAAGGCGAAGAGAGAAGGCGAAAACGGGCAGCTGCAAAAGCAACAAAAAAGCTCTGTTAAGAAAAGAGGATAAAGAAGACGCCGGTACAGTTGCGCTCACACACACTCACATGCTCACACAACAAGTTCGGCAAGAGCGTAAACGCTGAAATTGCAGTGTGGCGCTATTATAACGGCAAAATGTAAAAGAATCAAAACAATCCAAAAGCAAAAGCACTCAAAACAAATCGAAGAGTTACGAGCGAAAGAGAACAAATTGAGTGAGTTTTTCCATTCGATTTTTGTTGCAGCAACACTGTGGCGAAGACACAAGCAAATGTTGCCGAAACACTGTTGATAAGAAATGTTGACGGGGAAAAGTTAAGTAACTTACTTATGTTTTATGCTAAATTATATACGTATCTGCGAATATATGTTAAAGCCTAGTTGAATTGAAACATAGTTGCTAAAATATTTTAAAACAACTACATATATGTACATATGTATAAACATATGTACTATTTAATTTTCGTTGGATTTTGTACAACTAAAGTAGAAGCTAGATTCTCGATGTCGGACAGAAATTACATGAATAATGTATCGTATTTTATTTTACTTTTTG